TCTGTTTCTTAAATAATGTACGCTTGAGGCTTGCGAACGCGCGAGCGGAACGTGAGTGCGTATAGCAGTTTTTTTTTTTCTAGACTTCAAAAGTGCTTTATTTTCCTAGAAACACAGGAACACCATCTTCTATTTGGTTTGGAATATAACACGAGAAAGAGAAAGTATTTACACTTGAGAAGAGGTTTTCAATTGAGCTTTTAACTCCCCCGTCGCAAAGAAGAATTTAACAAATAAAAACGCGCTCAAGTGCCTTGGGACAGTTAATTGTGTCGTGCCTTTTCAATATTCAGAGCTGATATTTTTTAGCTTGATCGGAAACTGACCCGTTTATGCCAATCAGGTAAATAATGTCAACAAAGATGACCCAACAGAGCCATTTTTAATTATCTATTGAATATAATGCAATCCATAATCAGTCTATTGATTTTGCTGCACTACGCTCGGTGAATACTTACATTAGATTAAGTTTACGGTCGCAAATTTGAAGCGCTAAAAACGCTTCAACGCGGTTTTAACCCTTCAACGGTGTCAAAAAAACGGTTAACGCTTCAAATTTGCGACTGGTGAAGGGATTTTCCCGAAACGTCTCTAAAAATACCTCTAAGCACCTTTGTAAACTTAATCTAATGCAGTTCAATTCAAAGTGCTACACAGCTACAATTTGATTTTACGTTCGGTGAATTGGGCAGTGATGGGTTTAAAAAGTGTGCGCCGCCTTTTTAACTAATCAGATGTCACTTGGTCATGCTCTGAGTTCTTATTGGTTAATAGTGTTGCTTACGTGTGCGTGACTGGCTGTGTTAACACCTTTGGCTTTGGTGTCACGACAGTCAACTAAAAACTCTCTCTAAAGCCTTCAATTCACTGAAATATCTTGAGTGTAAAACTGTGAAGTCAGCAGTAGTGTAGACAAGCGGTGGCTTCATTGCGTCTGGGGTTTACTGACAACTGTAAAATTTAATTGACTGTACATATTCGTAGATAGGTTAATCGAAGAGGATAAATTTTGTACGTGGAATTGACAGTAAGACTTTACTCTTGTTGTGCATATCGTTGTCTGCTGTAGAATATTTGGTCATGAAGGCGCTGATGCAGACAACATAGTTTACATCAACTGGCTCAACATGGCGCGAGCAGGATTGTTAGGACTGGAATTTTTTACACCTGAAAATAAGAAATGGAGACAGGTACGTCTGTGATAACAACAACTTAAAATAAGTTCAGTTATTTTCTGTAGCGTAGCAAATATGTGGCTGCAAATGTTTATGTTAGTTATTATGTTGTTGTAAATGTTCTCGCAGCTCGCATAC